ATCCAAGAGAACCATCATTCTTAGGGTACTTGTAAAAAATTTTAAAATTATAGCAGCAATAGTTGGTGCTACGCCATAACCATTATCGTCTAGATAATTATAATTTATAATACAACTAGCTGTATTCCAGAAAAAAAAAATGATTTTATTATATTCATTAATTTTCGGTTAGAGATGGCTCCAAGTTTTTATATTGCTGACTGCCGACTTGCTTGTATGTATGATGAAAATCTCTTGCTGTTGAAAGTGGGTTGTTTTTGTGTTCATTTGGACTAATAAGTGGAATAAAAAAAAATAAAGGTACTTCCAGAAATTCGATTTTAATTTTGAAAAAAAAATGAATTTGTTTGCTCATTTATGTGTTTTACAGGAATTTTTTTTTTTGATAACTCTAAAGTTAAAGTGAATTTTTGAAAAAAAAGAAAATTAATCTGGTACTTAATCAATTAAACAATAATACAAACAATTAAAAATTCATTCCCTACATAATTTAGAAAAAAGAAAATTATGGAATTCAAACATGTTTTCAAAATTAATATCGGGCTTTTGGTATTGGATGAATTTTTCTTTCGCTTCTAAGGACTTTTATAGCCGCATAGGATTTGAAAAATTGTTAAATAGCAAATCATAATGATATTTGACTGCGCGTAGGTTACTATAGGTTACACTATGGATTTCCAAGATTTGAAGAATTTTAGCCGCGAGTCGATGACTAACCAGCGGGTGATAAGAAATCAATAAGAGATCATGTATCAAAAAATCATTTAGTAGGTAATAGGTACTTAGTTAATAATACATATTATTTACAGAATAATAATATTATAATATACTTGTATAATTCATTAGAAAAAGGCTGAAAATATATTATATTATTTGTCATTGAACATTATATTATACACAATCGCAAATGGCTAATAAAATATTTTTTTGTATGTTATCGTGATTCAGTCAATGTACAATTAACTCACTATCGATTATTGTTTTTTTGTGATAAAAATGAATTATTGGCGTTTTGGTAATAAAAAACGATGTAAATTATTCATACAACCAAAAAAATATAATTATAAATTGGCAAATTTACGTATAAAAAAAGAATAAAATTCAAGAACTCAACAATGACAGGGATAGCGTTTCAGAAATAAACAAGAACCAGGTAAAAAGTTATTCAATAATGATATTATAACTATTTTAAATATCGGTGATATTTTTTTATAGTTTTTAATTACAATAAATCGAAGTAATGAGATGTACAATGAACACGGCGATAAGAGGTAATAACGTATATATTTAGTATGATTGCTATTTTTAAATAAATACATAATTATATTATAGTAACTGAACAATTTATTGAACATTTAAATTTCAAGATAAATAAACAGATATTTTTTATAAATTTTAACTCAAAATAATTTGCAAATTTTCGTGATTTTGATGACTTTTGTCAAAACTTTTAATTCAGACGATCGTATAAAAATATTGTGAATTTACGCACAGCATCTTTTTTAACTTCCATTAAACAATTTATGAGGAATCCCGAATCTTGTATTATCTTGCATTCTAAGGTCTTTGACAATATTTTAAAAAATAACAATAAAAATTATATGCTGTAAATAGCTCAACAAAATTGTTTGGTGAATAATAATAATATTAATAATGTTAATCAATGGAAATATCTTAAGTATGTCAGAGGTATGCTCCAATTTTATATTTCAATATCTTTTCTGGTAGGAAAGTTAATCTACTTGGTACTTTAAGGAATCGGGAGTTACCCGTTTCCGCCAAAAGTGTATCTTTCTCTTTTCCTCCAAAAGTTTACCTACCCATCCCTTTTCTACTCAATGAAAAAAAAAAAATAAAAAAAATTACACATTATATCCATATTTTATATTTTTATGGGAGTCATTCATTTGGTATTTACTACAATAGTAAAATAATAAAAGGTGGTAGAGGAAAGTAAGTGGATACCGCTCTGCTGTACAATAAGTGTTACATAAGTGGTTAACATAATTATTGATGTGTTAAATTTGAATTAAATGATTCATTGTTGTATAATGTATAAAAAAAAATATTATGAGTGAAGACAGTCAGTCAAAAAAACTAATTTTATTTCATGATATATTTTTTGATATTGATATTAAAGTAATTATTATTTTACATTTTTACTATAAGTATTACAGTAGGTTGATTTAATGTTTGCTGTGAACATTGCATATATTATGTTATTAATATTTAATTATTATAATGATATATTATGTTATAATTTTTATAAACTTTTGTGTCAATACCCTACCTTAGTATAAGAATTTTTTGTTAAGACAGTGTGAATAGTGTGAACAGGTATTGGTTTAAAAACAATTTATACAATATTTAAAAAATGTTATTGGATACAGTAAAATTTATATAATACGTACAAGTTTTAAATTCTTATAAATAATAATAATGTTTTTCAATTATAAAAAAATCACTTATATCCTTATTCCTCACAATATGCTTTTTCGCACTAAATTAAACTTCGAATGTCTGTTAAAAATAAAAATATTGTAATTTGTTTCCGTTTCAATATGAATTACTTATGAGCAACTTTATATTAAAATTTAAAATCTTAGTTATTAATATTAAACATTTTATGTATTTTAAATTACGAAATAATTTACAGTTGTTCCTCATTTTCAGGTTAAGAAGCCTATATGATTAAAATAAAATACATATTAAATGTAGTTTATTTAATATTATACTCAAAACAATTCTTTCAAACCATAAAGATTGTTAAATTATTATTATTTACTATAATTTTACATAAGAATTAGATAATATAAAATGTTTTGGTTTTAAATAAATAATCTCCAAAATAACTTAAAATATCATTAATACAAAAAAAAAAAACCATTATTTTTAAACAAAGTATTTTAGTTTTATGCTCATTACCAATCAGTTGTTTATACTAACACATTGTTTTTTCCTGTACGATATATTTTTCTAAATTCATTATGTTAACACGTTCAAGACATTTTATGTTACGATCTTATAACTTTACTGATAACGAAACGACTTCAAGTCCAGCATCTACTGTGCTATCATTTAGTCCTTTACAAAGTTGTGCGGAGAGTTAAGTTGTAAAACTGCCTTATCTAATGAAGCCAAATGTTTCGAATGCATCACCATGGCCGGTCGCGCTTAAGATAAATTTTATACGGCATGTTGCGGATAAAACAACGTCAATTTTTTCAAATATACCACCAAGACCGGCCGTGCCAAAGCGTAAGCCTTTACGGTGTGTTACTGTTCCGATCACGAGTTCAGTTGAATCACCTTCGTTGACGACGCCAACTGTCTCCCGTGTTCCATCTTGTCAGATCGCTTATAGGCCTTTACCGCGTGTTGCAACGATTTCTACGAGGCCAATGATAGTTGAGCCACCTTTGCCGAAAGTCATTGGAGTGCTTTCGTGGCCGACTGGCCGTAGATTTTTGAGATATATTATACCTAGGTCTACGTCACGTGTTGCTCCTAAGATTTTACGGACAATTGGCGTCACTACTTTAAGGCCAGTAGTTGGAATGTCTTTAAAGATTGCATCTTCATCGACCGATGCCGCTGTGACTCGTCGAGTGATGTCGCTGCATCTTCGTCGAATGACGCCGCCGCGACTTTGAGAACAGTAGTTAGCGATTCGTCTTCGTGGATCGTCACCGCTACATCTCTGCGGCAGCCATTACCGCCACTTTTTCGTGGTACGTTGCCACTTCTTTTTCGTGGTGGATTATCAAGTCGCTTCGTGGAGTATTGCTACATCAAAATGTTGGCGTATAAATGTATAATACGTATACAATTAAATTGACTGTATTAAATATTCGATAAATTATTCATTCTAAACCGGATATTCTCTATATCATATATTCATATTACATTTTTTGAAGCTATATAATATTATTATCATTGATATGTATGAAAATAAAAAATATTGATTTATTACTTAAATTTTAGATTGCTGTACAATATTTATATTTTAAACTGTTGTAGTTATTGTTAGTAAATTATTGTATAATGATCGATTAAAAGTTAAAACATACTTGAAAAATATAATTATTTTATAATAAAATATTTATTTATTTTTTTCGAGCTAATTTTATATTTGTAAATGCATGATTAATAATTAATGTATACTTAAATAATTTTTTATGGGAATTTTTGCTGTTTATTCGCACAGGTTTTTTCGGACTTTTTTTTTCTAATAGCTAAAATAATATACTCCAGAAGAGGCAATAGATAAAAAAAAATAAAGTACATAATATCCGATGGTGAAAAAGTTACATTAAAAAAAAAACTGATGATTATTTATCAAGTTCAAGCACAGTTAAACATTACAAAAAGAAACTACTGTTATTTTGTTGTGTAGACTTCGAAAGGTAGTCTATGAAAATTTTTTGTGTACGTATAGAATCTAAAACATTATAATTTATATTTTCAAATTTAAACATGTTTATTTTAAGTTTTATATAGTAGAAAAAATATACAAAGATGTCAATTTTTGAACTTCAAAAGTTGAACCATCGGTTACAAAATTTTACATGCATTTTTTCTCCCTGGATTATTGACCCAAGATTCGATAAAGGATTAACAATTGGGCCCGGTATACCAGAAAAGAAGCTTTAATTAATGTATATTTGTGTAGCAATATGCATTATTATTTTATTAATTATTAATTACCTATTACCATTGATTAAATGATCAATGCTATTACCTATTAATAAATTTAATCATCATTTACATAATAAGTGTTTATAACATAATAATTATATTATGTGTAGGAATAAAGTTTTAACTATATTATAATATATTTTACTAGGTATTCTGTATTACCTGTTTTGTCAATACAATGCGCACCATGAAGGTAATAAAATAATTATTGGTAAACTGTTTTATTGATAAAAAGTAATAATTAAACATTCGGGAAACTCAGCAGACTAATAATTGTCATTTACTACTTACATACACGCCAATTACCAAAGGTTATAGAATATTGCCTATATTCAACCCCTTAAAAACGGTCTGTTTTCAACAGCTTTAGTTGATTTTTTCAATGTCAAACACTCAAATCTACCATACTGGAACGTCTGGAACTATGAAAAATCATAAATACGATACTGTAGGTAGATAATAATATTAATATTTAATAAGCTATTGCCTATTACTATTCGTGTAATGTGTATTGTTATCATTATCATTCGTACGGTTCGTATTTATTGATTGTATATATCTTATTAGTTATTAATTAATAATTATTATCCATTAAATCACATACAAAGATAGATGTCTTTATAGGAAATATAAACAATAGGTTTGTGTTACTCAGTATAGCTTTGCGTTATAATTATTTATAGGTATTTAGCACACCAAAGACCAGACTACCAATACTTGTTTGCATTAATTATTCAGAGGTGTATGCAGCTAGTAAGAGCAGGCGTCGGAAATCAAATTATATGGCGGTCCAGATAATTCGAAAACAACTTTTTAGGGCCAGAAAAAAAAATTTTATTTACTAAAAATTTAAACATTAGTTGATGTATACATTTTTGTGTTAAAAATACATTTAAGCTGTATTTAATACGAACTGAATAATATTATAAGCAGTAGGTACAATGTCCGGTGTTATGTTATCATAATTATTATTGTAAACAGCGATGAACCATGTCAATTTTCAACTATATCATAAAAATAAATCAAACATTATTTTAAAATCAATATATTTATATTATTATGCGTTTTAATGGCTCCATCGCCTCGTTTAGAATTTAAAATATGTAAATGATCAATCAACATGATATTATAGGACTACTCCGATTACTTATAAAGAATATATATTAATATCGATATGTATAACTTCTAGCAGGTATATATAGTATACTGCTTATCAACTTATTAAACAAAAAAAACTTTTAATAGTTTTAATAGTTGTGTAATATTATCTGTTATAACTTATAACATATAAAATAATTATAACAATGTTTTATTAGGTTTTTTATTGTGTTTATGATATTGTACTCGATTACCTCTTAGAAACATTTTTCAAAAACAAATCGAAATGATCATTCAGATCAGTGCCGATTACGTAGGTTGCCTAATTAAATAATATTTTGTATTTTGTTCGAAATTTATACCGTAGCACGCAAGGACGGTTTTAGAGAATTTGAGTGGAGCTAATTCATAATATTCATAATATTATCATATTATAGTATATTTATATTTCATAGTATAAATAATAATTAATAAGTATATATCTCTAACACTACATTTATGTGTGTCTATAGACTATAATGCTCAGTGGTATAATATATTTTTTTTAATTTGTTTTTAACAATACAATTTTTTAGAAATACGGGCATGGGAGAAAGTGTTCTCTAGTACTTCTGCAGTCGCCTCTGGTAACCCGTAAATATGCCACATAAAGAGTAATAGATACTTGTGTAATTTTTATAACTGATTGTAATTGTGTATAACATAATTAGAGCTCTGAATTTGAAATATTTCAATACCTATTGAAAAATATTTTTTCTTCTTTTAAACGTGTTTGTTTATAGATGATTAGAAATAATAAATTGATTAAAAATATTGATAATTAATAGCTTTTACTTAGTCGGTCTTCCGTGTGTTAAAAAGATGTGTTTGAATTAATTATATCATAGATTTGTAAAATATATTCTATATTATATGTAAATATGTCAAATACTTTTTATGTATCATATAATAATAAATAAACCAAATTTTAAAAATGTTCACTTGCAAGTTGATGAAACTATAAACTTTTAGATACAATATTTTTATTTTTATTTTTCATTAAAATAAAATATATAATGACATTTTAAAACCCTAATTATAATACTTCATACTAATAATATGTCAGATTGTTAGCACACTTTAGTTATCTTAAAATATATTCTTAACTTGAAATGTTTACTTCTACCTACGGCTTTATTTCAATTTTATTTTATATATACTTGTTGAAACCTTAGCTCATTTTTAATCAGTAAACTTTTAAGATAGAAAATAACAATATAAATTAGTTTAAAAACCATAATGTTATTAAAATTTGAACAAAAAAATATGAGTTACAATTAAAAAAAAAAAAATTGTTTTCCTGTTCATGTGCGGAAATACATAAGTAATTTGAATTTTTGAAAAGACGGATATACCTATTCTTATGTAGTAACACTAGTAACTAGTAGTTAGTAATTATTTTATACTTGGTAAGAGTAATGTGTAGATTTATATTTGTAAATATTATGTACTTCAGAATGTTCCAATATATTATGTTGAATGTATGATGTATACCTTTAACCTTACCTAAGTACCTAACTTACCTATGCCATTGTATAAATAGCTTTTAATCCTGTTTATACGTATTATTTTATGTTTTATTATGAATATAATATTTTTATTTTCAATTGTATGTGCAGGATTACACTTTAGAGAATAAAATCGTGCCGATTTTAAACTATATGTTATCTAATCCATATAATAATTATGAACTGATAGATACAATGTATTAATATTGTATTAACAATAAGTACCCAAAGTACTTATTAATTACGTAAAACACCTACTTAATTTAAACTTTATTATTAAACGTAATAAAATAGTTAAACATTTAAGTGTGTAATATTATATTTTGAAGAATAATGGATAGAAACTAAAGAATTTATCAATATGTTTATGATACAATTAAAGCAATGGATATTTTTATTGATAGAATAATGTGTGTTTGGAAATGTTATTCTAAAATATAAGGTTTAATAATTCAATAAAAGATTTCTCAAGTTTTTTTGACTGAAATAACTTAAAAAATACAATTTAGTATTAAATAAGATACATTTTTTTTATGAGTTTTAAATTTTTGTGTACTTAAAATTTTGTCGTAGTTTAATACTCACAGATAAAATAATTATTTCTTTCTGAAAATTTTTTATTATTTTATTATAGTTATAAAATATTAACAGTAAAAGCTTGAAATATTATACTATACCTACTTAAATTATCATTTTTTAATTTTTATTGACTATAAAATGTTGTGTTTATAGTTTAGAGTCATTTTATGTTTAGGTTCAATATTTATCATTGAATTCAAATTTAAAACATCTATTACATGTAAAGAGATATTTAAATAATGCGGGTAAATTTAATACTTACTATATATTCCCCCTTTAAAAAAGAAAAAAAACACTTTTGGGTCGATAATATTAAAAAAATAAAACAGTTTCAATCTTCAAAGCTTATAAATATTAACATTAACATGATATTGTATTGAATTTGGATATTAAATTGGTACATAAATCAGTTAATAATTTTATAAGTAGGTAGGTACCTATAGAATTGTTTGTTTATTATTTTTATGCAATTTATTGTTTATGATTTTAGTGTTAGTAGTGGTCAGTGCTGCTGAACTGTTGCTGCATTTATTCACGATCTGTATAATACCTTAATATTATTATTATTTCTATCTACCTCTTATTAGTGTTATCTTAACCTTTGCTAATATGATAAAATATAATACGATATAAGTATCTGCTTCGGACTATCGAAATACTCATACTTTCAACAATCATTATTAAAACGATAGCATAAGATTTAGAATTCTGGGATTAATATCGCCTTACCGGTCACGAAACAAGATAAAAAAAACATTTTCAAAGTTCCAAACGTAATTCATCATAATAGGTTAATGCGGATTGCGTTAGCTTTAGTAATTGTTAGTCGTTACCCGGTGAAAATTGGTATTATTTTGAAAGTGAGGATAAAATACAGACACTAAAATACAAAACTGAATGTACAAAAGATATCAGATTTTATTTGATCTAAATACTAATATTAATTACAATTTAGACTTCGTGTTACTTGTAATAGTCAGTGGATATCATCACGAGTAAATTGTGACATTTGCTATGGTTTGTACGCACGTGCACAGCTTGGTCGTCGTCCCACCTCTCCTGTAATCCTGTGATCGATGTTTGAAATTTTTTTATTGTTAAAATTTATTATTTTGTTAATCATAATGAAAATCTTGGATTAATATAGCAATAACTTGAATTTACCTTTCCATACATTTTTATACCGTTGGGATAACTTAATCAGAGTGATTATCCGTAATTCATATGATTCTCTAAGTAGTACTATAAAGTATAAATAATATCGAGGGAGTTACCTCATTAAATTAGGCTTATCTTTAAAATGTGCATAATAATTATGTTAGTCATCTCGTAAACAAACTTCTAATAGTCAATATTCTTTATATGATTTTTTTTGTTAACCTTGAATAATAAAATCAATTTAACTGAAAAACATTTAACAGTTATTATTATCATCAAGAAAAATGTATCATAGTTAAATTGGCGATTTTAACCAAACATAAAAATCAGGTATAAAATGTATCCAATCATAATAACTATTTTATTTGCTGTAACCAACGGCAAACATATAAAAACAAAATAATAATCATTTTTCATGAGCTAATAAATACTTGTGTCAAAATTTGTCACCATGCTTCGTCTACTTAAATTTTATCCTAATATATATTCTTTATTATTAGGGTTGCCAGATTTTAAAATTACCAAACCGGGACATCATATTGAATAACCTTTTTTTTATATGATGTGGAAATATATATATCCTTTTTTTTATTTTAATATTTATTGGCAAATATTTACAATTTTTTTACATTAACTTATTACTATTTTTACTAATATTGATACTTTTCGTTTGAATGATTTTTTTTAATAGAGATATGTTATTCTTAATTTTTTCAATCTAAATTAGTTAATATTTATAGCAAAAAATTTAGATAACATAATAAGATAATTATATAGTGACATTGTGTACAATATTATTCTAGGTTTTCTTATTAAATAATACGACATTAAAGTTATTTTCTTTCAGCTTCTATCAACCGGAACAAACTTAATAACCGGCCAGGACACCGAGACGGCGAGACATGCCGTCAAAACTGGAATGAATGGCAAGCGTATCAATTACCAACAGTTTAATACACTTCTTGCCCAAAGCACTGTATATTTTTAATTATTATTCATCATTATGTTTATATATTATCTATAATTTTTTCTAATTTTATTTTATTATCAATTATCATTTATAATTAATTATATATAATTGTACCTACTATCCAATTGTAATCATTAGCTATATATGTATTACTGTTTCTATATGTAAAATTATAATCACCCAGCTATTATCGATTGTTTAAATAAATAATAACCAAATAATATTTAAATAAATTTAAAAAGAGGTATATGTAAATTATCTATACACATTTTAGCTATTTGGTTTCAATGCCTATTTTGTTAATTTTTCCACATTTTATTATGTTTAAACTTTTAATTATCACTTCCCTAGTATACGTTTATATAACTATTGATAGATACTTATAAAAAGTTTTTTTATTTTATAGTTTTATTATATTATAGGTAACTATAAAACATAACGTAGGTAGGCGTATATTTAATATGTAGTCCTTTTCAATCTAGTATTTAATATTAAGATAAATATAGATTAAAGTCTATAGTTTATGTTTATCGTAGTACTTATTTTTTATATTTAAATAATTAATACAATAAATACTTTTTAGTATTATTTATTATTTTTACATACCTATACCACTCCACTTGAAAAAATGAATAGTAAGAAATAAATTTAATTATAAATATTACAAAAAATAGTATCTACGTAGTGTTTTAGAAAATTGAAAATTAATTAACTTTATTGCTTAAAGAACACTCACATCTCACAAGGGCGTTCAAAAGGGGTTAAGTTAAATTATTGTAATATCTACACAATTAAGGCAATTTTAGTTTGATACAATAATATTTTTATTTATATATAGTTAATATCGACAATGATTGCAGAGTAAAATAAAAAATGTACTATGAAGGTATTTTTTCCGTGAAAATATTTACCTGCAATTTTACAACAAAAATATTTTATAATATAATTTTTTACTTGGAAAATATTTGCAAAAAAAAATGTCAATGTTTTTTTGTAATTTTAAGGTGTGAAAACTTCCGATTTCCATCAATGAACAGAAGTATAAAACTACTGAAGTAGAGATTAGACTATAGGATAATAGGAATAGAAGTAATATTATACTTATACAGTGAAACCTCAATAACTTGAATCGGTTGGGGGCAAAAAAAAAAAAAAATTCGAGTTATCGAAAATTTGACTTACAGACGTTCAAGTCATCGAAGTGCCACTGTATATTGATATATATATTATATAAGATAATATATATGTTAATTATGTATCAATTTTACAATTTATACATAGACAATTATTATTTCATTAAACTTGTTAACTCACTATCTTAAAATACTAAAATAAATAGAATATTAAACACAATAAAAAGATAAGCAATGTAAATATAAAGTAGGTAATAACTAATAGGGCGTATTTATCTGACACTTGAGTCAAGACTCACAGTCATTATATTAGTGTTTTACCATGATAACAATTTTTTCTCTGTGCTCGTGTAACAGTCATTTATGAATTATATTATTAGTTTTTAGTTTATATTTTGCATTGCTTAAGTTAACATGTTAAAATTATTGTTCTTAATTGCATCTTGCACCTGCATTTTTGCACAGGATGATACCGAAGAGAGAAAGCAAATGGATGTGTTCCGTTTGCCCAACAATACCGAACCAATATCTTATAAACTAAATATACAGCCTTTTATTGAAACAGAAAATGAATTCAACTTTAACGGTACCGTGCAAATTACGGTTAAAGTGAAAACAACAACAGAAAATTTAACTTTAAATGCAGATGATTTAATAATAGATCAAATCAATGTTAAGAATATAAATGAATCAATTAATATCGATGTGAATAACAGATATATCGAGGTTAAAAATGAACAACTCATCATTCAACTTAAGTCACCAGGATTACTTGCTGATCAAGTGTATGAAGTTCAAATCACATACTCGGGAAAATTACGGGACGATATGAGTGGTTTCTATAAAAGTTGGTACATAGACGAAAATACTAAAAAAATGAAGTAAGTTTTATTTTAGATAATTTGTAGTTATCTAGTATGTATATTGTTTAAATTATATTTGTATTTTATTTACCTTAAAGTTAATTGAATTAAAGTAATTAAAAATTATTATTAAATCAAATACTAGATAATGACAAGTAAGAACCATTAATTTTAAAAACACACATTGTAAAACCAATACGCCCATTACTCCGCCTAAAAACAAAGTTATAGTTATATCTTAGCTTATATGTAAGCATTCCTAAAATGAAAATAATATTATGGCTTATCTTACACATCGTGTTTATATAACTTACTTGTTAAAAACTGGATCCAAGTTTATAATTATTAACTTAGATATACGTTTATAGGTTGGCAGTTATTAATTTATTATTTTTGGTTTAAATTTAAATTTATTATTGTCCGTATGAAGAAATATTATTTATGTATTCCATTTATTTAATTTTTTTTTTTTAGTATGATTTTTTTGAGATTTAAGGGGGTAAAATTGAAAATTTTAAAAAGGCAATCTTAAATAGACTTGATGACAAATTCAAATCTATTTTTAAAATTCTTATAGCTTCACTATAGATCAATTGGTACATTTGAATTAAAATACGTCTAAATTCCTATTTATTCTATGTGTGTTAGATAAAAACAGAAAATTACCGTTTCCAATCCTTTTAATTACAAATATTTACTTAATTAACAATTGATAATGAATAAAGAAATAAAATAGTAATAAAAATGATATTACTTGCTATTATATGTAACATATTTTATATCAGAGGTCACTAAATGGGGGACCGTTAACAAATTTTATCTGGCCCACAGTCCGCAGACAAAGAATAAATAAGTAATGATATATAGGTATTATGTGTTATTGTTGTAAAATTTTTCAAATATTTGTAATTTTTATTATGTTTTTAATGTTTATAAACAATAGTAAATAATAAATAAAAAAAATAATGTTTTCATTACATTCAATTTTAAAATAATAGCTATTATATGTTAAAAATATGTACTTAGAATTTTGATGACCCTTGAAAAATATTTTCAGATTTCTAATGTGGTCCTTTAAAAATATTAATTGTGACCTTTGTTATATATTATTAGAATCATAAATTTATCATACACAGAAATGTATGTAATGTATTTATGTTAAAATCTTTAAATATATTATGTTAAAAAATTTTCTACGTAGGAGTTATATATATTACATATATTTATTCTATGTTTGTTTTAGATGGTTAGCTGTTACTCAATTCCAACCTACATATGCTAGAAGGGCGTTCCCGTGTTACGACGAACCTGCATTTAAAACACCTTTTTCAATTGTAATCACGAGATTAGAATCACACATTTCTTTATCAAACATGCCAATAGCACTAACAACAGACCAAAATACCACCGAGTAAGTTTATAAAAAATAATAAAAAAAGATATCTGATAACCAAAAATTTTGAAAAGTTATTCAAACATTTTATATTTTAAAATCAAATTTATATTACACAGATCTTCAACACAACTTAAATATGTATCTGATCATTATCAAACTACAGAACCAATCTCTACGTATTTAGTAGCATTTTCGGTTTCTGAATTTGTGAACACAACGAAAGATCAAAAAGTTTATATTTACACACATGCAGACTATATCGATCAAACAACTTACATTAACGAAAGGGCGAATAAATTGCTCAACCTGATGGAATTTTACACAAACATACCATATACAAATTCAAAAATAGGCCTTTTAGCGATTCCAGACTTTTCGTTTGGTGCGATGGAAAATTGGGGATTAAATACATACAGGTAAAAATAAAAATATTTTTTATGAAATTTATTTACTTAATACAATATAATAATTGAAAAGTCATTTTTAAATCATTAGTAATAACAATTGTGTTCTTACTTTCTTGTACTTTCTATACTTACTAATCTGTTATATATATATACATCATAGGCATAGGCGTAGGGTGGTAAGATTTTTTTTTTTTTTTGGGGAGGGAGCTGTAGCCTTCCTAGGAAGTAGGGCATATATAAATTTGTAAAGGGCTTCATCTGCATTTTTGAGGGGCTATTTTCCAAACTAAGAGGATAACCTCCCCTAACTACGCCTATGATCATAGGTTGCATAAGTAAAGGGAAAATAGGAAGCTAAAGATGTTTTAATAATAAATCATCTTATTTCATATTGTACCTATATTGGTTATCAAGTAAAAATTAGTATAACCCATTAATAAACCATATATTACTCATACGTAAATATTTGATTGTTTTAATTAATATTATAATAGTGACTAATGATTAATAAGTCTAGAGCGCGGATTTATATGTATTAAAAACCAATTAAATATGCACTAAAAATCTTAAATATTTATAAATATATGTACTAAAATGTTAAAATATGCACGAAAAATAAAAATAAATATGCATAAAAAAATTATTTTTTGACCAATAGTGAAATAATGTCAGTGTTCAATCATGGCCGTAATCGATATTTTCTTATCTTAATAAGATTAATCTAAATATTTATTTCCTTAATTATTGATCTAAGCCCTAAGGTCATATTTGAAAATACCGTTTATACTTATTAATTTATTTTAATATTAATGGAAATTATATAAATAAAATATTTTTTCTCATATTATATTAGACTGCAATAGTATATACTTAAAAAACATTAAAATATACACTAAAAGATGAAATATGCAATTAAAATTGTAAAATAAGCCCTTAAAATAGAAAAATGTCAGAGTATGCAAAAATATGACTAAAAAGTTTCATTTATTAAATGTTATATCATGAAACAAATTTTCTGCTCACTTAGCATATCATATAATTAATTAGAATAAATATGGAATGCATACAAATCCGCACTTTCTTAATAACTAATTATTCAAACTCAATGTTTTAATAATAATAATAAAAAAAAAACATCAGAGATGTAGACTACTGAATCATTTGTACCAATATTGAAAATTTGATTGCACTTTATAATAATAAATATCTAATTACTTAAAGTTTTAATAAAACATTCTCTATAGGTAACTATAAGTGTACGACGCACGTATTCTCGAAAAAGGGTCTATGGTACTTTTGACGAATTGAGGTTCACTTATTTAAATCTAAAGTACATCAGCAGCTAATAACTATAAGAAGTATATATTAACAATAAATCTTTTCATTTATTATATTTACCATTTGATTTTTAATTTAATTAATATATTTTGGTAAAATTTGTTTCATTCTTACATCTTGATCTAAAATAGGAAGGTAGATATTCAAAATGTATATCATTTATAAAACTAAGTAGGTACTTTACTTATACTAAATGTTCTTTATTATTATAAAACATAAAACCAATAAATATTTTATTATTAAATATATGTTTCAGAGAAAAATATTTATTAGTGACAAATAAATCTACTGAAAAAGATAAAGAAAATGTAATTACAATAGTTCAACATGAATTGTCACACCAGTGGTTTGGTGATCTTGTAACATGTTCTTGGTGGGATTATACTTGGTTAAATGAAGCTTTTGCTACATTATTCGAATATTTTGCAGTTCATGTGGTTAGATAATCAAAATTCGATTGTTTTATGAATCACAATTAGTTAATCAATAATTTTTCAATTGTCTTTTACAGATAGAACCTGACTGGCGTATTGGAGATATATTTGTCATTGAACAACATCAAAAAGCATTAGTTTACGATCATATATCACGTCATCCAATCACAGCAACTGTTAAAGAACCAAATGAAATTCAAAATATTTTTGATATAATTACTTACAACAAAGGAGCTTCAGTGTTAAGAATGTTAAAACATGTATTGAATGATGATATATTTAGAACATCTTTAACATTATACTTGAATACTTATAAGTAAGTAAAAAAAAACCTGAGATGGTTATTATTAATAAAAAGTATTACTTTCACTTTTTAAAAGACATCAACAATCAGAATTCCTTAAAGAGGAAGTTTATAAACGTAAATACTTTAGGATTTTAACTACAATATTTTTTAATTATTTTAGGTACCTATTTCGTTATAGGTTTGGTCAATTATAATTTTAAATAAATATCAAAGAGTAATTAAGCACCTTTTATCTAATAATAATATTAAGAAGAAGGAAAATGTTGACATAACTAGTTAATCTCTCGAATTAGTCCTAATTTAATTACTCTCCCTTTCACAAGTATTACATTCCTAGGAATTTTAATTTAAAGTTATTCATTAATGAAAAAAAAAGTTATTTTATTAAGTATCTATATTTTTGATGTATGCATGAAAACAATTTTTTATTATAACATTAAATTGAGAAACTTTTACATGATTGTAAATAATTTTTATAATAAAAATCACATTTATAAATATAAATATGATTAATTAAATATAAAAAAATTATCAAGTTCAGTTGTCATGATTGTAAATTTTAACGAAAACTATATTGATCGAAAAGCGAACGGTAAGTTTTGGTCAAAAAGTGATAGTGGTTGAAAAGAGTGATGTCCATTGAAATATAGTAGGTAGGTAAGTGATAAGTATAAATATGTAATAATAATTTTATTTGTAATATATTGATATATATAATTAATATATATGTCTGTAGGTCAATACTTAATAAAGGCATAAAGGTCTTGTATATGACAATATATTAACATACTAATTTTTCTTTAAAAATTAACCAAGTATTATAATTTAATTTTAGATATAAAGCTGTAGAACCAAAAAATTTATGGAATTCATTTGATAGTGTAATATTTGACGCCAATTATAAATCAGGAATATTAGGAAATACAATTACAGTTGAAGAGTATATGAGGTCATGGACTGATCAAGCAGGATATCCTGTAATAAATGTCGATTCAGGCAATCCCAACTTTCTTATTGTAACTCAAGTATGTTGTATTTATTTAAGTATTAACATTAGAATTATTCAATAATATTCATAGGTGTGACTAGAACTAGTCAACTAGGTATGAACCGAAGACTCTCCCTGCGGAAACTAACTTTCATGTTTCACTATAAATTTAATATAAATATTATTTTTTAAGTAGATACCTAATATTATGATCTGATGTCTGTCCACTGTTTCAAATCTTAATTTAAATTATTTTACCTATAAACCTATACGATTGACTATAAGGATTTAATTTCGATTGACTTTGTGAGAAACTCTCAAATTAATAAAATAATTTTAGATACTTATTGACGTTATATACAATGATAATGTGTTTTTCATTTTTGTGTCTGTAATCACGTTTTGGAGTAGTAACAATGGTCTAATCATCAACATGAACTTGAAGATTTGAAGTTTTCATTAAATATTTTGTATCAACATTTTTAAAATATCACTTTTTTGTACAATTTATAGACATTTGAGATGTTTTACTTATGAGTTTATATAAATATATATTTTTTTTTTTAGGGAAGAATTGAACATTAATTCACATTTAATTAAAAATTTTAAAAAAAATAGCGTAGCCAAAGATATATTTTTTTATAAGCGACTGAAATTTAAATATTGACTATATTATATACTTAAACGTAAAACATTTGTTAGTTATCTGTGTAGTGAATATTAGTATGGTAATAACTACTGAAAAAATATTTTTGGAACAATTTTAAATGTTCTGTCAACAAACTATGGGTAGAACTATTCATTAAACATCTCAGATTGTCTTTAATTGCAAAAAATAAAAATTATTATTTTCCTACACGTTAGCTAATAATCAATATCTTCAAATGAATCGTATAGTATAACTGTATAAGAATTTCACATAATTTCTAAATTACATATTATTTTTATTTCAAGTATTATAACATACATTTTTACTTACAAATGTTATATTTTTCGATGAAAGAAGGGATACAATCACGGTTGTTACATTTTCACTATTTTCGTCATATTTTATTTTTTTATTTTTTTTTATTTTTTTGTTTTTTATTAGTAATATTATATACGTAAGAAAATTAAATAAGAATCACATAAACTATACTTTTCACCGCACTAATAAATTGTTGGTAAATAAAACTAGTCGATTTCAGTATTCAGTAGGTACTAATATCATTGACTTGAGAACACGATTGATCAACTAATAAAGATAATCTTTATTGCAACAATAGAATATTATATAGATACATTATTTTACAACACATATATTATTTTAATATTGCAGCACCCCCTATAAGCGAAGGTATGCGAACTAATAGAATCGAGTGAATCGACCATCTTTGATTCATGGTACCTATTCTACAAAGTTAATAAGAATATATCGTTGAAAATGTCTACATTACAAACTAAATAATATTAATTAATATCATTATTTTCAAATCAATAAACCATCTTACTGGTAGACAGCATACAAAAATGAAATCCTATTCAGTATTCCAGTAATAAATAGTAAAAATAAACTTGGGTCATGTATATATAATAATATGTATGTCTGGGGCATAAGTGCATTAAATTACATTTTAAACAATAATTTAGCTCAAAAATAAACTGAAGGAGCTAATTTAAGACTTTAGGGTGCTAAACACCCCCTGGCACCCCCGTATGTGCGCCAATCAGAATTATTACTTTCACGTTCCTACCACTGGTCTTGATTATTACCTATAAATGACGTGACGATAATTAGCAAATACATTATAAACGTACATGATATGGTCTATTGTCTATACCATATAATACACAATATACGCATAAGTTATAATATCTAACATGACATAAATATTATATACCTATACGTATATTATATTTATATAGGTAGATATCTACACAAATGCCTAGCAAAAATTAAATTAAGATTTTTTTTGAAAATATTAGAATTATTGTAGAAATTGGATTGGGAAAACTGCACTACAATTGTATTTAGGTAGTAGCAAAAACAAGGAGTAATATATAATTAATTTATGAATAAGAGCTTTAATAAATAGGTTTCTCTTGCTACAAAGGTGGTTTGTTCATGTCTATAATAATGTTTGATATAGGTATCAATAATGAGCTCACTAAACAGTAAACACAATTAGATAAGTAGGGATCTGATTATTTATTTAAATGACTTGGATATAATTATTTTTACAGAAACATTATGAAGTGGATGTGCCTAAATTAAATTATACAACTTTGTGGTATATTGGTCTTACATATACTAGTCAAAAATACCAACAATTTAATAATCTTCAACCAACTGTTTGGATGAATAATACAGAAACCGAAGTAACTATACCACTAATGAATGATGCAGGATGGGTAATATTTAATCTTCAATCAACAGGTACCTATGATTTTATCCAATACCATTTAATTTATTTTATAGTACTTATTGATTTATATTATCATTTGCAGTTTTAAAATAATAATTAGATTTATTAAAATAAATGTAAATATTTGTTTAAAGGTTTTTATAGAGTTAATTATGATATTACGAATTGGTATCGACTAATTGACGAGTTGAGGTCTAACCCAAAAACAATACATGTTCTTAACAGAGCACAACTGATTGACGATTCATTTAACTTAGCAAGAGCAGGCGAATTGACACACTCTGTACCATTTACTTTAGTGTCTTATTTAGAGAATGAAGATGATTTTATTCCATGGTACTCGGTGAAAAATAGTATGTCATACATTGTAGAACGGTTAAGACGCTGTCCACATACTGGAGCTCAAGTACAAGTAATATAACTGTTTAAAAATCATATTTTTCAAACATTTAAAATGTAATAGAAAATTTTTAAAATCTTAGGATTTTGCAAAAAGGTATGCAGAAATAGCATACAAAAAAGTCAGTGACCAATACGAGAAAAATGACAGCCAACATTTAACAAAGACTAGTATGCAAGCATTTTCAAATTGGGCGTGCAAATTAGATGTTGAATCATGTGTTAATTCATCTTTAAATTATTTTAATGAATGGGAGAAAAATGGAACAGAGTAATTTATAAATTGAATAATTAGTGTAATTATAATTTGTTCTAAATTAATTCCTTTATATTTCTATATTTTTTCTCAATAGAATTCCACCAGATGTTAAAGAAGCAGCCCTTTGTAGTGGTGTCAAAAGTGGAACTGCTGAAACATGGAATAAAGTTTTTGAATTATTTAAGGATACTATGTCAACCTCAGAAAGGCAAGCATCACTATTAGCATTGGCTTGCAGCACAAATGGAACAATATTGTCAGGGTAAATAGTAAAAAATATTGATAAAAAAAAGTAATGAAATGATTAAATTATAAAATCAAAAATAATATTCATTAAATTTTAGGTATTTAAACCTTTTACTTAATGATGATTGTCCAATACGTCCACAAGATTATAAAACTATGTTTAAATCACTAACATCAACTCCTATTGGTATTAACGTAACAACCGACTTTTTACAAAACAAAATCAATGAAACTCTGAGAAAAATGTGGGAAGGTGAAGAAATGATTATGCTAATATACTCATACTTGGCTTCAAATGTAGCAACAATGAAAGAAATAAATGAGGTATATTAGATATTTTAAAATAAAGCTATAATAATGTTACCGTAATGACTAATAATAATAATTGAATATAATTTTATTTCTTTTGAGACATGATAAATGTTTAAATTTATGGTATTTTTTAAATTATATTTTCAGTTAAATGTAATCAGAAATTTCACTTATTTATCACCGACATTGAAAAAATCATTTGATGAATCATACATGGAAGTGGAACTCAATTCTGCTTATTTTGAGAGGTGTCATCCTCTTATGCACGAATGGTTCAATCCATCCACTGCTTCTACTACCCAAGCACCATCCAGTGCTATTTCAAATTCATATCAATACATTAATGTCATTGTTTTATCTTTGTTTTTTATAACAATACTAGTAAATATTAATTTTTTCAACGCAATGCAATAATTATCAATATATTTATTGTTTATTAATTGTATATTGATGTATCATTTGAATTGTTAAAAAATAAAAATAGAAAATATAAGCTATTAATTTTTAATAATTTTTAAATGATCTCCCAACATTTTAAACTGATATCTGTGTCTTTTAATTGTTGTTCATCATTATCATTTTCATTGTGCCTCTGTCCAGAAGCTGTTGCTAATAGAGGAAGAGTTGGATGTAAACTGAAATAATATTGAAAAGTTTATTAATTCATTTAAAAAAAATTGAAAATTAATTAAAAAATAAGTTTTAATAATTTTAATAATTTAATATTTTAATATCTATTAGTTTTTACAGCAGAATATATATATATGTAAATGTTCATAAAGTCTGTGTTATTACTAACCTGACACCATTGACACAATCATTATGAACAGGAATTTTAGAATTTAAAGTAAGAACACTTTCTACACCATCAAACTTTTCAATATTCTGGTCTAATTTCCATGTACTAATTTCACCTGTACAATTACCTAAAAATAAATAATATGAATAATATTTTATAATTGTCAAAACTTATAAGTAATTCACACAAATCCATTAACGTATATAAGTATAGGTAGTTGAAATATTGAAAGTTTATAATATAAAGTGTTTGTTATCAGTTATCACTTACCTATAATTCTTTAATAATGTATTCAATATAATTCAAATTCTGATTGTTAGAATTTTTAAGTATATTTTTATCTAGATTTTTAAATACCTAACTACTTAAAAAAAATATACTTTTTTAACAATTTACATTTTTTTTTTTTTTTGAATGGTATTTAATTAATGATTTTTAAAAATACTTGAAAATTCCAAAAATTAGAAGTTAAACAAATGCATTTGACAAATCATCTAATCTTTGAATATATATTAGTTATTTAAAAATTAAATAGTTTTACCTGAAATTAAATATTGTCCATCTGATGAAATATCAAAACAAATTCTTTGATTAGTAGTCACTGTTCTTTCAGCAGAATATAGAGTTTGACCAACATTCCTTAAATCCCAACACACAATATCATTATCACCTTTTCTACTACCCGAATATAATTTCAACCCATCAGGTGAAAATTGTAATTGGGTAATTCCTGACTTATGTCCTCTTAATATGTACATAAGTTGATTACCTCCATATATACCTAGGCAATATATTTTGTTAAATAAACAATATTACAGTAATAGTTTAAAAAAAGAACTCACCAATATCTTTACTATAAGTACCAACAGCAAAAATACTCCTGTCTACTGGGTTCATGGCTATAGTTGATATAATTGATCTATGTAAATCTGCTTTAGTAGATATTTCAGTAAATTCACGTCCCGGGCGGTCTGTACGGAAAATATTTAATTTTCCATAACTACCACAATAAATTTCTTCTCCAGACCAGTTAAAACATAATGAGTTAACATGTGCAACTTCATCAACACTGTTAAATAAAAAATGTTATGAAAACATGTAATACACGATAAACTTATATAAATTAATATTTTTATACAATTCATAGGCAAAAAATTTGAAGTTTAAACATACATATATAATATCTAATATATAAAAATCTCGTGCCACAAAGTTTGTTACCAAACTCCTCCGAAACGGCTGGACCGATTTTCATGAAATCTTTTGTGTATATTAAGTGGGTCTCAGTGAGTGATGTTAACTATTTTTCATACCCCTAGGTGTAAAGGGTGGCTCACCATAAATATGTATAACAACTGTTGGATATCGGCGATGGAAAATACAAAAAAATTAAAAATAAAATATAAAAATAATAAATAAAATAAGATACAACAGTTGTTGCCAGGGAACTATATGCGATAAATACGCGGTCATTTAATATTATGAAAAAAGATGGAAACGTAATCTACGTAAATAATTGTACATAAGTACATAGAGCATTTACATCCAATTCATTCCTTCGTCTAGCATTCGAGTATAGGCCTGATATTAAATATTACGCTCATTCGAAAGTAGAGATTGGTGCTATGGACAAGGAATGTCCGCATGGTAATGCGCTTAAGTTCAAAAATGAGCTAGCCGGTATGTGTTGCGTGTCAGGAAAAGTGCAACTACCGGAAATTGAAACCCCACCTGAACCATTGAACGGTTTACTTATCGGTATAGATCCAGATTCTAACCTGTTCCTGAAGTCAATTCGAACATTCAATTTATGTTTTCAAACGACATTGTTCGGAGCAACAGAGATAGTTAAAAATAATGCTGCAAATGGTCAACAATTTAATTCAACATTCAAAATCAAAGGCCAAGTTTATCATAGAGTGGGCTCATTGCTACCAATGCCAAACAAACCACATACATTTTAGTAATTTTAAATTTATTAGTTAAGATATAAAAAATTAGTATTTGGTGTTTTGTTATTCTTATGGGCCGTCATCATTCTCAGTGCTCCATTCATCTCAGTCATATAACAGTATACGACATTCCCTCTCACTTACAATAATTTAATTATTTTTTATTTGAATACCAATATATTCATTAGAAATAATTTATATGGCAAAACAACGTTTGCTGGGTCAGCTTGTATATATATATAAATATGATTACATAATACAGTAAATAGGTGTACCTAGAACCAGATTAAGGGAGGAGCAGAGAGCTACAATCCTATAATTACAATATTATCTACAGCTACCTAGTAATTTGAAATCAATAATGTAATAAGTTTTACTAGCTTTTGAAAGTCTAAAATCATACTTAAACTAAGAAGAAAATGTCTATGCCAAGTAAATATTATTATATATTTAATAGTTTTTAAGTTATTGATGAATAGATAAAAATAAACATACTGATCATATACTCTATAAGTTGCTTCTAATTCTCCATCTATAGAGTTCCAGAGGTGAATAGGTGATCGGTTGCTAGTACTCAAAATTCTGAAAATATGACAATAACTATTGATGTTACACTTTATATTACTTGAATTAATATTTAAGTTTATATACATTTACTAACAACTTTACATCATCACTCTTTTGTACAGTGTTCGGGTACCATACATAATCGTATATAGTACCACCTTCTTTTACTTCATTGACTTTATGAAGTTTTTTATATAGTTTTGTTTCATCTGTTACAATATTAAAAATCCGAAGTTTATTGTCTTCACTATTTGTTAAAATACTAAGACCATCAGGTGACCTATTTGTAATAATAAATAGTATTATTAACAGAATTATTGACAGTTTAATTGTTTTACCATTTGCATCCTTTTAAACATTGTTGAAATTCTTTGTCATTCACAAGGAAATCATCAGAACATGAACAAATGAGTTGTAAGTTTTTAAATTGAATAGGTTGATAGATTTCCATATTTTTTTCTTGAGCATCTATCAATGATTCTGTACTCAATACTAATTAATTTTAAAATTGTAATTCAAGTTTTAAATAAGGTAGTTACGAGTAATATGATAGAATTTAAAATTTAGTCTATTATTTAGTTTTGGACTCAACAATAAATAATAAAATATCGTAAAAATTTAAAATGCATGCTAAAACTCAATTGTCACTAAATTATTATTGATGTATACAATATGTTATATTAATATAAAGAAAACACAACGATGAGAAAATATTTTAATTTAACTAAAAACGACAACATTCATAACATTGTAATTTAAATGTTTTAACAGTTCACGGAAAGATCTTGGAATCGTTTAGTAAAAACTAAAAGCCAAAGGATAAAATAAAATTAAAACACATTTTAAAATTTTGATAAGTGATAACGCGTTTTGCATGTAGTTAGAAGTGATAATAATGGCTTTTGATAAAGCTAGTTACGGTTTTAATAGATTAGATTGGTAATAACCACAGATTATATGAAAACAGATTGTGCACTTAGATGTAAACAAAAAATGACCTGATAAGGTTGTCTCCAAAATCAATGTGACCATTTCAACGGACTAAAAATATTTGAACCTTATCATATAATGGTGGCTTACCTGATAGTGATACCGGAACAATGCTTGTAAACATTTTGTTATGATCTTATGAACTCTGGGTCTCTGAGACTCTGACTCTTCCTTGTCGTGCTCTGACTTGTGATTTTCACGTGTTTGGAAATTGGTGTTCTGATTGTTTTTAAATTTGAATTCGTTTGTTGAAATTGTTTTTCACTAAAGTTTGCAGTAGTCATTTATTTCGTAAAAAAACCTTTTTTATAGTATTTATATTGTCAAATTTGTTTCATAAAATTGTACACAATCTAATACTATAAAAATGACTATTTGTGCAGTCAAATTTTGCAACAATAAAATGTCACAAACAAAAAACATTAGCTACTTCAGATTTCCAAGCGACCAATTGAGGTGAGTGATTGAATTTGTTTTATAATTTTCATGTATATGCATTATAATTTGATGTATTACTAATTTACTTTAGGTGTAAACAATGGATGGAAAATTGTCACACTGTAAATTTGTTAAAAAAAGACCCTGCTATTTTATACAAAAATTACAGAGTGTGTGGTGTTCATTTTGAAGACAATATGTTTTTAAATCCAAGTAGCAGGAACCGTCTTACAATGAATGCCGTGCCAACAATATTTAGTGGTAAGATTTTGTTTACTAAAATTAATATTTTTATTACTCCGTGAAAATTATTCTAATTTGCTTTTGCTTTTGCTTTTTCTGTGGCTACACGGCTGAGAGATGCATATGGATAGTTCAGCTACCAAAATTCTACTCAACAAAGTGATTGATGAAATTGATGCACCCCCAGAGCTCTGAGGGTATTCAGTGAATTGCAGATGTTGACTTAAGTTTATTTACATTAATTTAATTATTATACATTTTTTTTTCTTCTTGTAAAGTTAGCTAGTTAGATTTTTTTTTTTAGTTTAGTTTTAACTGCAAATAATTGTAAAATTATTTTAATTTAATTTAATTAAATAAAATGTATTTTACTATTAATAAATGTTATGATTTTTTTCAATGCATCTACTAATGCCATGCAAATTAATGAACTACTTTAA